AATGTTATAAAATAAGTTAAAAAAAAGATATCGTTTATTTAATTTTATTGTTAAAAAATGTACACAATTTAAAAGGAATAGTAGTTAAATTTTTGTAAAGTGATTCATTATTGATTTTTACAATATAATACAAGAAAAACATTTTTCATGTGAATTTTATAATCTAGTATCTAGGAAAGGAATGCTTAATTAATATAATTTTTGAAGGAAATTGTGTATCTATCTCCCCTGATTCTGAATTGGACTTTACAACATTAAATTTATAATGTAAAATTATATCCAATTTGAGTTATAAATATCATTTTTATAAATCACCACTTTTAACTCAAGAAAATATATTAAATTTGATTTAAATTTAATGTATTATTTACTAATTGTGTACGTTAATATGGACGTTGTTCGCTTCGAAACCACAGAGAAATGGATGATTTACATTTTGACACACATTAAAAAAATAACAAATATTTTTTATAAGAGAGGATTACTGAAATGATTCACTCGTATCTTGGTAAACTACACTTTAAAGAAATCGTAAAAAAATGTGAGAGAAGTAATGGCAACAAAAAATATACTTAACGTTAGGACAGAATCACTGAAAGGAGTTCAAGAAACAAAATAAAAAAAAAACTAAAAATAATTTAAACGTAAGAAAAAAATCGAATTTGAATTAAAATAAAATTAATAGAAACACTCTCCTAGAGATCGATGGAGAACAAATTTATGTCCGAAATTTACATTCGAAGTTTCTATCGACTTCGCTTCGATTTTAATTAAGCTCCCGCAATTATTATTATTATCTTTTAATTTCAACTTTGGCATATCCGGCGGCTTACTGCATCTTCGGCGAAGGTTTTATTTGAGCCGGCAGCTGTGGAAGTTGGATGGAGGCCGGTGAGCGAAATACGAGATCGTGTTTCTCTCCGTTCGGATTCGAGAACTGACTTACTGACGTAACTTCACGAGTGCGCGCGACCCGTGCTGCAGACGCTGACGCGTCGCTTGTCGCGGCGCGCGCTTTTCGTTACGCCGCGCCGTGCAACGCGATTCGAGAGACACAGAGCGAAGTGACCGCGATGTTTCCTGGAATGCAAGACCCCCACACACGCACGCACACGTTGCAAATGCGCAACGAGTGCACCAGACTGTCTAATCGCGCCGAGAGAGCGCGAAGGAGATTTCGACGAACAGAGAGGCCAGAATCCATGCTCCTTCAACCGTGATGACTCTCTCTCTCTCTCTCTCTCCCCCATCTCTCTTTCTCTTTGTCTGTCTCTCTTTCTCTTTTTTCCTGTCTATCTCTCTTTCTCTTTGTCCGCCCGTCTTTCTGTCTCTATTTTTCACTCATACAGCATTACATCTTCCTATTATACCGGGTGTCTCCTGCCCAATTAATGTTGCAAGGTTTTGATTTATGCGTATATTCATAGTTGGAAATTTTATGTTAAATTGAACACATTTCACGTGTTCCAAACAGTTCGAATGTTTGTCTATTTAAATTTTTGTATTAATTTAATATAAAATGAATGCGTCAGGCAGTGCCACACAAATATTATGTAAAAAATTAAGATGAAAAATAATTGACACAATTTCTAAGCAAATTGTGTATGTAGAGATATATTTTTTCAATAATATTTATAATATATTTAATTAATACGTTATGTTGATTTATATTTAAAATTTACGTTTTAAAATACATTATCATCTATGTTTTTTTTTTATTTACGCATAAAATGTGTTATTCTAACACTAAGAAATGTCAGTGTAACACAAAATATTTAAATAACACAGCAACATTATGTTAAATTAACATTCGGATATGTTAAAAATTCAACACAAAAATTTTAACGAGGACAATATAAATACAAAATGTTTTTTTGCTACGTACGTAAAATGCGTAGGTATGCGACAAATAGATACGTGCAAATGTTGCAAATGAGGTAAGCGTGTCAATTTTTGGCACTGGAAATATGTATGTACGATATTAGCGCGTCGTAATTCAGAACTTCGTCTGACAGTTTTAGCATCCGCGTTTCGTACGTATGAGAGACTAACAAGATTAGATATAAATAACTGCTCACGCACGATATTGAATCAATCAAGGAAAAATGTGTTTTCTATTTTTTAACCATCGGTCATGATGTAAGAGTATTTAAACGCAATGTGTGTCGCAAAGTGTGTCGAAATTGATGTAACTTCAAGGTGTTAAAGCATCTGTGACGTCCAGCACGTCACACATTTGTGTTGTATTTTTCTTCATATTTATCTGATAAGAAAAATTGTATTAGTTGTCGAAAAATTTATAACAGTTTTTTTTTTTGTATAAAATACAGAGTTTCTAAATATGGAAAAAATGAAGCTTCGTATACAAAATTTTCATTTTGCATATTCAGATTTATTTTTGAATAATTGTTATTAATATTGCCCAGATTTTTTGTAATTTCCTTCTTCTCTCTCTTTCTCTTTTTTCGTATGTATATATAAAATAGTTTTTCAATTAATAACAAATCGATTTTATTGTTAAATTATACTTTCGAGGTTTGAAAATTGGAAAATACACAATATTAAAATCTGCAAAATTATAAAAGCTAGTAATAAATGATATGTTCTCCAAAGTTCTGTTAATGAAAGTATTACGGAATATCGATTCGAAATTTATATATTGTATAATAATATAATAAATCGATTTTGATTTTATTCTAAAGTACACACTGCAGAAATACGGACAATAATAATAATTAGATTAATTAGTGTGCTTAATGAATACATCTAATATTCGATAAAATGAATATAAATAATGAATATACTTTTTTGGAGAAATAAATAAATACCTCGATTTGAATAAATATTTTTGTGAATATGGTTACAAATATTTTCGGTTTCGCAATCACTCCCACTTTGCATTATCTGCACATAGCATAGAGTAAACAACAATTACATAGCATAGAGTAAAAACAACGACAGAGGAATAATATTCAGACTTCAAACTTTAAGTCTTTTTTTCAAGTTACATAAAATTATTCGCGCGTTCTTGTTGCGTTCAATTCTTCAATTAACGTTATGTTCGAGAAAATCACATTTGCAAAGGAATTTAAAAAGAATATATTATACACGTAACAGAATGATCGTCATCACAATTGTATTATTCTTTTCACATCCAACTAAAGATTACGATTTTATAAAAACAAAATTTAACAATACGCTATCCAAATAGATTTATCAAAATATGTTGGTTACAGTTAAGGGTTGTTGAAATTTTTTTAGTATTACATTTTCTTTGAATATACTTTGAATGAATACAAATATTCGCAAAATAATCATAATAATTTCATAAATATTTAGGAAACTTACAGTTCCCATGCAGAAATCTAGTATTGGCCAATAGTATATGTGAAAGACAGTAATTTACTTATTTTAAATATTAAAAACATTGTTCTCTGTGTTCAGTGTACTTTTAGTACTCCAAATAAGTAATTAATTACTATCTTTCAAGAATAAATCGATCAATAAATAGTACTGAACAATGTTTTTAATATTTAAAATAAGTAAATAGATTTTTCTAAGTGTTTTGAACGAATATATTTTTAACGTGAAATTTCGAATAACTACAGTTTGTAGCTAATTACAAATTCATAAAGTACCAATATAATAATGGATACCTATTTCAATTATATACATGACATATAATTTGTCATTGGAGTTTCAATTTTAGAAAGTCGTACTTAAAAAATTCATCGTGGAATATCGGAGAAATTGAAATACGGCGGAAAATATTGAAAGAGTACATTCTGCATTTACATATATTCTCCCAAAATCGCACCGAGTCTCGCGACATCGCGGCAATTCGACCGCAGCATTTTTCATTCCGAACAATCACGTTCGTTTGCCTATTTATAAGACAAACTTTCGTTCTCGCGGGCCCGCTTGTCGCCGCTTGTGTATAAACACGCGCTGTGGCGCGAGGTGGGGAGAGTCAGTCGAATCGCGCGCGTCAGTGAGTCGTCGGAGTTCGCGGCGCGAGCATTGTTCGGTGTGGATTCCGCTGCTATCTTCACGTCGCGCCGTGTGCATGCGCGCGCGCGCACGCGAGATATCCCATCGCTCTCCCGGAGTCACCCGAATATATCAAAGCGAACGACGAAGGCTGTAATATACACGCGGCGCTCGGCCATCCTTACAAAGCCGTTGTAAGCCGCCTCGCGCAAATATTGGCCGTGCCTCTCGAGACGGGGAGAAGATAGCGGAGGACTGTAGTTGACGACCGCGAACGAGAGAAAGAAAGGAAGGAAGCTCTCGCTGACGTTTCGAGTGTTTGACGTTCCCAGGTAAACGCGCTCCGCAAAACGCTCCGTGTTTGACGGCAAACACAACGGTCGACGTACGCTTGTCTTCGGTCGGGAGAATTCCGAGAGCGATACGGGAAAGAAAGAAACAGAGAGAGGGGGAGAGAGATATTGTTTACTACCGCGGTGATACGGTGCGTCGGTCGGGCTTCCGCGAACTCCGAATCTCGGTGCGGATTCGAATCGTCGCGTGAGACGCGATAGAATCCGCTGACAACTTCGCGTCGCGCGACGCACGGCGCTAATTCGAATTCGGCTCGCCGCCAACTTCGCGCGATTGCGCGGAGGATTTCAGGCAGTTCGGCGG